GGACATGCACTATGGAAGCCATTCTGAAGCAGCCAGGGGGGGATTCTGCATGAGCCAAAAAGCAGAGACAGGAGCAATTGTCAAAATTTTGGTGTCGATCATTCGAATGCATCCTGGACACTACAGAAAATGGGCTAAAAGTGTTAAAAACCGGAATTTTCCTTTAAAGTTTTTGGGCCATAATATAAAGCTTCAAACTCAACGCTAAGTCTGACATTTTGAATTGAAAAAGCTTCCTTGATATTTATCGTTCTATCGTACTATAATCATTAGATGCAGCCCTAATTATGACAGAATTCCACTTTGGATTAATAGAAGGACACTAAATGCTGCTTTAATCATATTAGGCATAGTTCGGGCTACAGCTGATGGTTAGATCACCTTTGCCTTTATTTTTGCACATGATTTTATAAATGTAAACTTTTTCAAGATCAGAACCAAAGACCATTCAGGCTAAATCCAGCTTGGACTCACATCATTCTGGTCGGTGACTTGGTCCAGCAGGCGCTTCTGGACCCCCAGCAGGTAGGGTGTGGGAGCCATCACCACGTCAATCAGGATTTCTGGAACGATGGAGATGAAGGTGTGCTGCCAGGTGAAAGGATACAGGAGGGCAGCAACAGCGTGAAGGACCTGAGACAATGTCCTGCAGACAGACAGGTCAGAAATCAACAAACCTGATGACACATCGTATTTCATCAACGCATGCATAGAAGCAGAAAAGAGTCACGTTCAGTCACACAGATGTAACAGAACAAGATTTTCTAGTCTGCCATGATTGTTTTTAAAACACTGAAGAGTTGAAGGGATGTACATTCTCTACATAAACATCCGATCTGATTCATCACTGGGGAAAAAATGCTTTTCTCAAAGTCTTGCAATTTTTCGTTCCGCAGGAACCAAACCAAATGTTAAAGGTGCTACTAGCTGAAAATAAAAGCCAAAACAATACAAAACAAAACTGTTGAACAGTTCAGTAAAGGTCCTGTAACTGCAGCAGTGAGGGCAGGAGCTAACACTATGCTGAACATTGACTTCACTGGGTCTCACTAAAGGAGCTCCAACACATTCAAGCAGTTCAGAAATGATTCATCCCTGAAAGCTCAGCTTCAGTTTTTAGATAAATTAATGCAGGACCTGCAGAGTCAATGACCTGGAAACCGTCGCTCTCACAAAGGTAGAGGAACACCCCAGGCGCACGCCCTTATGTCTCAACAAACACACATTTAAAGGCTAAGCATTGCAACAACACACCATTGCTGCTGTAGCTCCCACAATGCATTGTGCTGTTCACATCTACTGACATCATCATCCAATAGGCTATGAGAGCAGAATAAAAGAGGAACCTACAGCCACCTGCTGCTGCAGCTGATCACTAACCAAAATAGCTAACAAAGACACAAGCTGCAACACTTCTGGATACAGATTCATGAACAAGATCCTTGTTTACACTAAAAGTTAATATATAAGTCAGTGTAGTAGTAGGATGGTTAATTTGTCCCTCAGTAGTAAAATGCATTATATCAACATCAAACTGAGGGGAAAAGCTCTAGTAAAGTATGATGACAAAATTACTTCATGTTCTGACCTCAACAGTATGCTTAACCCTATAATGCCAAATGTATCATATTTGATACATACGGTTTCTGAAATGTTTTGCGTCTGACA